TGTCACCTGGACGACGCCTGCATCAGCAACCCGTGTCAGAAAGGCTCCAACTGCGACACCAACCCGGTCAACGGCAAGGCCATCTGCACCTGCCCCCCCGGGTACACCGGCACCGCCTGCAGCCTGGACATAGACGAGTGCTCGCTGGGTGAGTGAATCGCTTTTTACCCAACTCCCCTCCCACATCCAAGTCGGCCATTTTGGTTAGGTTATGTGACGAGCAGCTTTCTGAGGAGGAAACGAAAGTTTACTGTCGATAAGAAATCGGAAGATAAACGGTGGCCTAATCCTAACCATGACACTAACCCTAAGCCCAAATCTGACCCTAACCTTAAACCTAACCCTGACCCTGAACCTAACCCTAACCTTAACCCTAACCCTGACCCTAAACCTAACCCTCCACCCTAATCCTTCACCCTAACCCTAACCCTGACCCTAAACCTAACCCTAAGCCTAACTAAACCTGACCCTAAACCTAACCCTGACCCTAAACCTAACCCTAAACCTAACCCTCCACCCTAAACCTGACCCTAACCCTAACCCTAGCCCTAGCCCTAACCCAATCCCTGACCCTAACCTTTTTTAGTTAAACTTGTTTGGACTTAATGTACAAACCTATTTAACATCCACCATTTTAACATAATATTATGTATAGAGTTTAATTCAAGATTCATTTCACTATTTTTAAATTAATGTCTATATTGCCATGAAGCAATTAGGATCTTCCTGCCTGGGATCTTTCTATTGGTGACCTAATCGAAATGTCCGACTTTGCGTTGGGCGGAGTTGGATATCCATCCTTGGCTTCCTGCATTGATATGTACTTAACCAGATCTTCCTCCCGGCCAATCAGGAGCCAACCCCTGTGAGCACGGCGGGCGCTGCCTGAACACCAAAGGCTCGTTCCAGTGCAGGTGTCTCCAGGGTTACGAGGGCCCGCGGTGCGAGATGGACGTGAACGAGTGCATGTCCAGCCCCTGCCACAACGACGCCACCTGCCTGGACCAGATCGGAGGCTTCCACTGCATCTGCATGCCGGGTATTAGCGGCTTTTAGCTTAGCCTCGAACGTTTGGGACGTTTAGATAAAGCGTGATAATAGTGAAGGTCTTGATTCTGTTTGAAGTGGCCTCTTATTCTTTTTTTTTTTTTTAAAGTGGCTTCCTAGTCTTTTTTATTTTTATTTATCTTTTATTTTTTTAAAGTGACTTCTTAGTCTTTTTTTTATTTTTTATTTATTTATTTTTTAAGCTACTTCCTAGTCTTTTTATCCATCCATCCATCCATTCTCCTCCGCTTATCCGGGGTCGGGTCGCGGGGGCAGCAGTCGGAGCAGGGAAACCCAGACTTCCCTCTCCCCGGCCACTTCAGCCAGCTCCTCCGGGGGGATCCCGAGGCGTTCCCAGGCCAGCCGGGACACATAGTCCCTCCAGCGGGTCCTGGGTCTTCCTCTGGGCCTTCTCCCGGTGGGACGAGCCCGGAACACCTCCCCAGGGAGAAGACCAGGAGGCATCCTGATCAGATGCCCGAGCCACCTCAACTGGCTCCTCTCCACGTGGAGGAGCAGCGGCTCTACTCCGAGCCCCTCCCGGATGGCCGAGCTTCTCACCCTATCTCTAAGGGAGAGCCCAGCCACCCTGCGGAGGAAACTCATTTCGGCCGCTTGTATCCGCGATCTCGTTCTTTCGGTCACTACCCAAAGCTCGTGACCATAGACGAGGGTGGGAACGTAGATCGACCGATAAATTGAGAGCTTCGCCTTTAGGCTCAGCTCTCTCTTCATCACGACAGACCGGTACAGCGCCCGCATTACTGCAGACGCCGCACCGATCCGCCTATCGATCTCACGCTCCCTACC